AGAATAAAGTAACTTTATAAAGTCATTATGAGAATAAAGTAACTTTATAAAGTCATTATGAGAAATAATGTAACTTTATAAAGTCGTAATATTACGAGAATCAGATGGCAGCATTATCAGAATCAAGTCCTAAAATACACACATCATATTTTGACCCCAAAGTATAGCTTCACAAGATGCTCGCTATTCTTTTCTTTATTTTAGGGAAGAAAGTGCTTCTGTTATCATAAAATGCAACTTTATTGTTGTAATATTAAGACTTTATTTTCATAATATTATGAATTTCTCATAAATTCTCTTATATAAGAGAATATTTAACTTTATTTTCGTAATGTTACAATTTTATTCTTGTAATATGATTTTAATCTCATAATATTATGACTTTATTCTGATAATGTTCCGACTTTATTCCCGTAAAATTTACGACTGTATTTTAATAATATGAATTTATTTCGTAATATGACGTTATTGTTGTAACATTATTCTCATAATGTTATGACTTTATTCTGGTATTTAACACAGTAAAATCAAATCTAAACTGCGTGTTAGATGTGAAGGTGTGTGATGACTGACTGTCTGATCTGCTGCAGCTGGTGTTGGGCCCCAGTGGAGTTCTGCAGGGAATCAGACCAGGCAAATGCTACATAGAGATGTCCACCGTAGATCCAGAGACCATCACAGAGCTGTCCCAGGTAGCATCCCGCCGTCAGAAGCAGTCGGCGTTGCGCCGGGACAGATTTATTCACAGATCTGTTTGGACATCAGGTGATCACGTCGCGGGGGGGGCGATTCCTGGAGGCTCCGGTAGCAGGAAGCCAGCAGCTCTCCAACGATGGGATGCTGGTTATCCTGGCCGCAGGCGACAGGAGTGTCTATGAGGACTGCAGCAGCTGCTTCCAGGCCATGGGCAAGACCTCCTTTTTCCTGGGTAAGCAGGAGTGTGAAGAATGCTGCTGCGAATCATCAGATCAGGTCCTCCCGTGTGGGAGATTAACTGGCCAGGCTGCTGCTGGAGCTAAAACCTCAGGGTGTCTGCAGGTGAAGCGGGAAACGCAGCCAGGATGATGCTCATCCTCAACATGGTCCAGGGCAGCTTCATGGCCACCATCGCAGAGGGACTCACCCTGGCTCAGGCCACCGGCCAATCACAGCAGACCTTCCTGGACATTCTGTCCCAGGGCCAGATGGCGAGCACCTTCGTGGACCAGAAGTGTCAGAGTAAGTGTCTCTAAGGCGGCCTCTGCATAAAGTCCAGTTAGCAGCAGCATGAGATTTATTCTGTTTCTCCCAGATATCCTCCAAGGTAACTTCAAACCAGACTACTATTTGAAACACATTCAGAAGGACCTGAGGCTAGCCATCTCCATGGGCGACATGGCCAACCATCCCACTCCAATGGCTGCAGCAGCCAATGAGGTATTTCCTGTTTGCTCTGTTTTCACTAATTCACTTCAAAGCGTGAAGCTTAAACTCATGACAATAAAAAACGGTTACAGCAGAGCTAACTAACCCGGACGAAGCAGAACCAGAACCGGACTGCTGCTCTGTGGTCCAAAGAATCCACGAGCCTTAAAGCGTGTTAGTCGCTGGTTATCCGCTGCTCTGCTCCGATCGCTTTGGTCCACACACAAGTGGAGTATGGGGGGAATTTTGTTCCATTATTGTTGCAAAAACACTTTTTTTTTAAATGGAAATGCTACTAATGCAGAAATTAAATTTAAAAATTTTTTTTAAGAACTGAAAAAAAATCTGAAATTATTTTTATTTGAAATGTTTTTTTTCACATTTTTTTACATTTATCATTTAAAAAATATATATATTACTAATATTTTTTTACAGATTTTTTATTTTTTCAAATGATTTTTTTAATTAAATTTTTTTT